AATGGGGGCGAATTGCTATATATAGTGAGATTTCCCACGGAAGACTAGCTGTATATTGAAACTTCCACAGGGGAAGTCCCACTGTATAGTCTTCCGAAGGAAGCATCACTATGTAGTCAGTCTTCCAGGGGAAATCTTACCATCTATAGCGAGACTTCCGAGGGAATGGCATGTATCGGGTACATACCTGAACTTATAACAAACATCAGTCATTTAACAATTTAAGTTTGGTTGATAAAGTATTACGGCAGAAAATTGAAAAAAAAACTCGAATAACCCCGGCCCGGGTTGCTTACCTAATTTTACCAACACTCTTAGCGAACAACCCTGCCACCTAGCGTTATAATGCGGCACTAAATTCGGACAACTTGTATTCGTCTTCATTGAATATGCTTCATTGTTTGCGTGATTGAGTTAACGTTCGTAATAGATATAATCATCGAAGAAACTGTATCAATTTAAAAGAAAGTAAAATGAATTTACAAGAATAAAGCAACATAGAAGTAAAGACAAAATGAAGAAGGATAAAAGTCAAAGTGAAATGTAATAAAGACGAATATGAAAACAATAAAGTGACATATAATTACAATAATAACAAAGCATAAAGAAGTAGGTAGAATAAGAATAAAAGCAAGATACATAGACTTTTGGCGGTAATTCCCTTCCATAATATTGTGCGTCAAATTGTAATTGGTTGTACTCTTATCCATTGACGAGATCTGCGTAAAAATGAACCCTTTCCATACGCGGGGAAAATTGTAAATTGCATGAAAACCTTTCTCTACGGTTGGAGATATGAACAAACCTGAATCAAATACCTTGTTTCCATTTTTCTCAAAACATTCCTTTAAAATTAAGAGATATAATTGCGGACAGACAAACAGGACGAAAGTCTATGCGGTCAGTTGCTAGAGTTAAAAGTTTTTTTTTAAATATACCATTTACAAAATATCAAAGCTTTATAGTTTACCTAACCATAAAGTTAATTGACTGATAAAAATTCACGTATATGCCAAGATGCATATTACAGACTGTTGATAAAATAAGACTTTCCATGTTTAATTATTTTCATCCCCATTTAAAAAAAATGATTTTTTTTAGATAATCGCAGACCTAGCGACGACCTGCGATCATCGCAAAGTGCAAGTCCAGATGACAATTTTGCTCACTGGGCAGAGCCTATTGTTGCTTGCGTAAGAAATTTTAAAAGTGGCACATTGATTGTGAATAGCGCACCATTTAGAGACGCGCTCTTGGAGGCCGAGAGAAATGTAAGTACATATAACAAATGATAAAATCCTCGTGTTTTTAAAAGGAAAAATAAAACTATAGCTTCAGTTGGCATTTTGTATAAAATTTATTTGTGGAGATTGGCAGAACTAGAGGTCTTGATATGGAAAGGGGGTGGGGGTCCTTAGGTAGCAGAAGTATTAAGATATGTACTCTATCAAATAATAAATGACTTTGGCATTGGGACACCACCACCACCACCCCATTAGAAAATGTGGACCCCACCTTTATCATGAAGGAATTCAGTTTTTTTCTTGCTTCTTAAGAAATTATGGAGTTGTGAATTTCTTTTTGACTGGGTTGAAAAATGGCTGTTAAGTAGCATATAGCGTTTTATTTTTTAGTCAATTTCTTTGGGGGGATTTTTCCTTACTATTTCAGTCTATAACTTTGAAAATAAGGAATTTAAAATTCATAGAACACCTTTGGAAAAATAAAGGTCAAGGTCATGTAAAGTGGACAAAGGTCAAATAAAGTCACATCATCCACTGATTCCTTCAATTTTTAGGCATAAGATTTTTTCCAAGTCTCCCAAATATATAAAAATAAATGTAATTCAGTTTTCTTCATTTTGACACATTTTAATCTGTGTTCTATCCCAATTTAATTATTCATAAACGAAATAGGTTAAAAATATACACCAAACCAGACATCCATTTTTTTTATATCCATCTGTCCTTAATTTAGTATCTTATTTTCTCTAATCATTATATAGTATTTAGTTCTTGTTTTATATTTAATCATATGTTTGTGATTTTTACAGTGGGTAGAAGAAAACATAGACTATAAAACAGAAGAGGAAAAGCCCCAAGTAAGGCCAATGTAACCCGTATTAATCTAGCTTGCTTCTACAATAATGTACAATTTTGTATTTTTTAGGTATAGTAAAAGCGTGATTTCTTTAAGTTTTAATGTTTAACTTAAAAAAAATATTTTTGACATACTTGCATATAGTGATAGCTTTTAAATATTCAAAGATTCTACATTCCAAAAGTATTTCATATATTGCAGAACACAAATAAAGGGGATCAGTCAAGGTTAGACTTAATTTTATCACAGCATATACCGATAAACTCTGAAAAATATCTCTTTATCAATTAATTGTTTCGAGCCACGCCACGCATTCATTATGCAATAAATATCCATGAAAACGTCTTACCTTTATAAACAGGGAGGAACTTATTTCTGAATTAAAATCAGAAGTAGAAAGACTTAGGTTGGCCAACCTTGACCTTGAAAAAGAGGGGACGGCGAGAGGGCTACCTGTACTTCACCCGATAGAGATCACTACTGCTAGGTAGGAATAGAAATTCAGTTCATGGGACATGTTTTGTTTTTATTTAAGAAACTTCAGTCGGTTCCCTTAACTTAAAGACCTCGTTCTAATTTAACAAAAACTTGATGAAACTTCCTTGTGATATTGGCTGACTTTTACATGATGTATGTGAGTTGATCCTTACATCGCGGGTTCGAATCCCACCGTGGGAGGTCGAGACCGCTCCTTCGGATAAGACCATATAAACCGATTTCCCATGTTGAAGTAGGTGCTGGCACGAAAAAGATCACTTGCTGTTCAATGGTCCTAAATGCCGAATATAGGATAAAATTACTAGGTAGCGGTGTCTTCATATGATTAAAAAAATTCTCGAGTGGGACGCTCAACAGCAAACAAACGAACGTTTTTGTATGTTTTGATCAATACATAGTAATGCACCTTAAATGTTTACATCTAAACAGTTTAAATGAAACATATTTGTTTTTCTTCGTTTTCTGATAGACCCGAAAATGTAGCTGAATTATTATCAGAAATATACAACACAGAGTGGCAGCCTGCCTTTGAATTCTTCATTTACAAGAAAAAACTCAGAGAAAGAGAGGCCACAGAGGAACTGCTTAAAATTCTTCAGGTTGTTTTCTGTCATGTTAAATACTTGTAATACAGTGAAACTTGTTTAATCCGAATGCTGTATAATCTAAAATCTTGCCTAATACAAAGTAAACTTTGTCTTTTTTCAGTTAATTCATTTGTTTAAAATATTGTCTTGTATGGCTGAATGTTGTCTTATCCAACAACTGGCGAACAGTTCGGTGTCCAGGTTAGACAGGTTACACTGTACATAAATGTAATAAAACTTTTACAACTACAGAGAGTGAGGATGCCGACAATTGTACATGTATAGAAACAGGGCTTTAATTATTTTTTCAAGATTAAGATTCAAAGTACTTTTTTCTATAAACTTCCTAGAGGTCGTGATTTGAACTAACTTGAATTTGTACTTTATTTAATAAACGTTCCACATGAATTTCAACTGTTTTGCCCATTTAATTGTTCTTGAGATAATTTTGAAAAGATTCCACCAAATTTACACTATGAAAGCGCGTAGAGTAACCTGAATACCTTTGTGAATGGTTTGGTTGAAAATTGCCCATTGATACTGAATAAAGTTTAAAATGTTAACATTTTACAGATGGACAACAGACAACATGTTATCAGTAAAGTTCGCTTGAGTTTTCAGCTCAGCTTCAGCTGAATGTCATTTCAAACATTATGTAAAATCATGGTAAAAAGCTCTAATTTTGTACGAGAAATAATGGAAAGGTCGGGGAAGTGCATACTTAAACTATTGCATTTACAAGTAACGCGGTATTCAAACTCTAGACATTTAAATCTAAAATACTGCACCGGAATTCTTGTTTACAGGATTGTTTTGAATTCTGTGAAAACCTGTCTAGCGAACATCTTAGAGATCTAACCGACACCTTGTTTGTTCCTACTTCAAACCAACATCTACTGAAAAAGGTTATCATTCAGTTTTAGTCAACATTAGTTTTGTTTTATTGTTTATTTATTTGGTACCTGATGACATCGAAAAAAGTAATAGAAATGTCCATTTGATGTTTCATTTTCTGGGAAACTAACTGGAATTCCTCAGAGAAGTTTCAAATAAGGCAGACTTTTTAAAAATGTTATAAACATAAGTGTATAGTGTATACATATTCTTGCTCGATATTTTGCGGACATCGTTTGTATAGAATTTTATAGAAATGTTGAATATGTTGAACACTGATATAATTATAATGATTTTCACAGATTCGTATACCCCAGTCTACGGAACAAACTGACCAACAAGTATCGTTAGAACTCTCTAGACTCAGGAGATCAGTAAACCCTCAGATAGTTCCAGTAATTGAACAGGTATTCAAAGTACAAAGTCTGGGTTATTTTTATTTAAAGAGCGTACAATTACTTATGAGTTATGATAGGTCTATGAACAAAAAATAAACACAAGTTAAGCGGTTAGACTCACTACAATATTATACGTTTTCCTATTATTTAAGGAGCACTTTTTTTCACCTTGGTTGTGCAGAACTGTTCCTTACTGGTCAAAAAAACAATTTGGATGGACAACCAATTTTCAACATAATCATCCAAACATTTTAATCTTGTACTGGATCCTATATACTAGTATAAGAAATTCGATCCCTTTCACATAAACCAAAGCCATCTCTAATCTCTAAAACCCTTTGAGAGAATATAAAGATTGCGTTCCTTTTGTTAGCTCTGCATCTTTGTATGAGGCATGCACCGTTTTCGCATTTACTGTCAAAAAGTGGCATTATTAATTTCAGTTAAGTGTGAAGTTTGGTGTTACGTCACGATCTTTCCCGTCAGATGCTTCCAGCGTAAACATGATTGGTCAACATATACTATCAACAACGACAACGTATTTTTTTCTTTTTCTCTTATGTACTTTTTTGTACTTTCTCCTAAATTCTATTTAAATTTGTGTTAGTTAAATATAACTTATTAGTGACATATGAACCTGTTACTATATGTGTATTAATTAACCTTGTACCTGTGGAGAGGGCTTATATAGGCTATGCCTGCTGCCCAATCCGTTTATGTAATTGCTACATAATGAAATGTGTTCAAACCAAAATCAACATTGACACTGAAATAGTTTGTTGCACGAGCAACCAATCAGGGATAAGAAGAAAGTTCCAGTCGTAAAGCTTGCGGTTAGGAGGCGTGTACAATTTACCTTTAGCGCAGATGTCAACTAGATCGTGACATAACGTAAAACTTCACACTTAATTGCAAACTATAATATCACCTATTTGAATCAATGATGTCACCTATACAGATTTTGAATAAGTAATATCATCTACAGTTTTTGATTTGAATCGGTGATATCACCTATTAGAAAAGGTGATATCACTAATTAGCTGATATCACCTTTTCTTTTCAAATAGATGATATCATTTATTCGAATAGTTTCTTGGTGGTAAAGTATACAGTCTAGGGAGCATTCATTATTTATTTCAAGAAATTCAAATAGGTGATTTCACCTATTCGAATGGGTGATATCACTTATTCGAATTGGTGATATCACCTATTTGGCACGAATGGGTGATATATCACCTATTCATTTCCAATAGGTAATATCACTAATTCAAATAGATGATATCACCTATTGGAAATGAATTAGTGATCTCACCAATTTGAATACTAGTAAGTGATATCACCTATTCGAATACTATATCACTTTTTGGCAGTAAATACCAAAACGGTGCCTCATATCTATGTAACTTGTAACTACGAGTACATATATTTTTTTCAGTTGTTTTTCTTAACGGAAAAACCACATCTGAAGGCCCATTTAAAGGCGGTCAAAGTGCATCTTTTCATCAAACTTTGTCTGAAGTGCGCGTGGATTTCTGCCATACAGGACAGACCATTATCAGTAACTTTCAAAGTGAGGCCAGGTTCACCATTTTCTTCCGATATAATGATTTCTCGGAATGCCCCAGCCCCAGATGTGGACTATTTAGTGTGGCCAATTGTGTTCTTGTATGACAGAGGACCGATCTTGCTTAAAGGGATCGTCCATTGCTCTCAAAAAAGATGAATTATAGTTCAATTGAAATTTTAGTTTTTCAGGGTTTTACATGTGGAAGGTATATTTAGACCACTCTTGCTCGAAATGATGGAGAATCAAACATTATAATCGATAAATTCTACTATGAAATATGTAAACGTTGTGGGGCTGTTCAATTTTTATTTTTATTGATTTTTTTTTTTTGAGGTATGGAGTGACGTATGAATTTATCCCAACCGTGTACAAAACAAAATTGGACTTCTGAATGTTTGATTGCCATTACATTGTAGTGCAGTGCAATATAGGTATAGGTAAATTATGAAGATACGAAGCATTAATATGCTTGCGGGTGAAAATAAAATTACTCACCAGTCAAAAAGGAGTGTTGATTTCTTCAGAATATTTTTTGCTTGTCCAAACTAGTCGTTCGATAAAAAATTATCAATACGTACAACTTTGTCGAAAGAGTCCCCAGACATAATTAAGTGCTGTAGACTGTTAATTGAAATTTGTATGAAAGAATACATGCAGTCATATATCAATTAAAAAATAAATTAAATATTTCATCCGGTCTATTTTTTCCATAAAACTTTTCTTTTCAAAACACTAATTTAAAGAATCAGATTTTTAATTCAATTACAAAAAAAACAAAAAAACAACTCAGTTTATTTTGATTGGATAATTTGCCAGGCACTACAATGGGTAGCATTGTTTTGCAGAAGAGTGCGCATGCAGTATATTTTTCGCAAAACGCTAACTGGACATTTGATTTCAAAAAGAAAAAAATCAATACGTAACTCTGTCAACATGTCTTTTGTCATAATTACTGGATTGTTAATTCAGAATCATAAGAAAGAGAACAAATTGTATATTAAGAAAATTTGATTTAATTAAAATGCATCCAGATTTTAATTAATTTGATTTGAATTTAATTCAGAATCATATGAAAGAGAACAATTGTATATTAAGAAAATTTGATTTAATTAAATTCCATCCAGATTTTAATTAATTTAATTTGAATTAAATAAAATCCATCCAACTGTTATTTCAAAACACAAAATTAAGAAAAATTAAAATTTGCAGTGTAAATGCATTGCAATAAAGTGTCGTCAAATTCTTATATTTAGAAAAGATATATTTATTCTCTCACAAATAAAATTAAACCCTTCTCAGTCAAAGAGGATTGATCATTTCTTCAGATTGTTATGTGCATATCCAAACTAGTCCTTCGATAAAATGTTATCAGTGCGTAACTTTGTCGAAAAAGTCCTCCGACATAATTCTTTCGATATAATTACTGGATTGTTAATTGAGATTTATATGAAAGAGAACAGTCATATATTAGTAGAATGTGAATAAAATAGTTCGTTCAGTCTGTTTCTTTTTTATTTTAACTTTTTTTTTTAAAAACACTAAAGAGAAAAATGTGTTTCATCATATTTTTCATTCAGTTACAACAAACTGACTAGGTTTATTTTGACTGGATGATTTGCTAGGCACTACAATATGTTGCAGTGTATTGCAGCAGAGTGCATTATGGTGCAGTAGGTTATACTTGTATTTTAACAAGCATAATTAGTTAATGCCCTTTAGAAACATTCCCCACCATCCACCCTCCAAAGTCACCCTTTATATACAATTTCCTCTTGCGGCTGAAAGTTTGTTGCAAAATTTGCATACTGTCAGTTTCTTACAAAGTTCGATAATCAAATTATGGCCCTTTGAAGAACGTAGACAAAACGATTATGCAAATGTTCAGGCAATATTAACGGATAACAGGCTTGTATACTATATAAGACAAGAGAGTCACTCACTCATGTTAAGTTTGGTCTTGTGTGTATACGTAATGTGAGTTTCTCTCACAAAACAAGTACTGCTAGATGGCTAGGCATGTAGTAGTGAAAGCTCTCTTGATTGTTCTACAATGGGCGCTTTGTTTGATCGAGTCTCAAGATGTTCATTCGTCAGTCAGACAGGAAAATTCCAATTTATTTCAATGTTTAACTTAATAAAGATAGACCAAATATGTTTTAAGTAGACAGTATACGTCAAGCAATTACAATGGGATGCATTGCAGCACTGCACTAGCTGATTTTTTGTTAATTTAAGATCATCCAGTCTGTCCCTAACTTTTTAAAATAGAAAAATAAAAATCAAAGACATTTTGTTTCAATTTTATCTTCAATTAAAAAAAAAATCATGTAAAACAAAATTGGACTTCTGAATGTTTGATTGCCATTACATTGTAGTGCAGTGCAATATAGGTATAGGTAGATTATGAAGATACGAAGCATTAATATGCTTGCGGGTGAAAATAAAATTACTCACCAGTCAAAGAGGAGTGTTGATTTCTTCAGAATATTTTTTGCTTGTCCAAACTAGTCGTTCGATAAAAAATTATCAATACGTACAACTTTGTCGAAAGAGTCCCCAGACATAATTAAGTGCTGTAGACTGTTAATTGAAATTTGTATGAAAGAATACATGCAGTCATATATCAATTAAAAAATAAATTAAATATTTCATCCGGTCTGTTTTTTCCATAAAACTTTTCTTTTCAAAACACTAATTTAAAGAATCAGATTTTTAATTCAATTACAAAAAAACAAAATAACAACTAAGTTTATTTTGATTGGATAATTTGCCAGGCACTACAATGGGTAGCATTGTTTTGCAGAAGAGTGCGCATGCAGTATATTTTTCGCAAACGCTAACTGGACATTTGATTTCAAAAAGAAAAAAATCAATACGTAACTCTGTCAACATGTCTTTTGTCATAATTACTGGATTGTTAATTCAGAATCATACCCTTACCAAAATATTGACCTTCTGGCAACATCTTCTGGCTTTATTGCCGCAATATTGCAGCAACATTCTGGCAATACATTGCCGCAATATTGCGGCTATATCGTTTTTCGTATGTAAATTAGTTTTGCGGCAATATTGCCAGAAAGGGGTTGCGGCAATATTGCTGCAAATCATGACCCAAATATTGATCTTCTGGCAACATCTTCCGGCATTATTGCCGCAATATTGCGGCTATATCGTTTTTCGTATGTTAATTAGTTTTGCGGCAATATTGCCAGAAAGTTGTTGCGGCAATATTGCTGCAAATCATGACCAAAATATTCTTCTTCTGGCAACATCTTCCGGCATTATTGCCGCAATATTGCGGCAATATCGTTTTTCGTATGTAAATTAGATATAAATTGGTATTTAATAGAAATAATGATCTATCAATCTAACAATTAACAAACTGTGCTGAGGAATATAACAAACAATAGCAAGCCACAGGGTCAATAAGAAATGGCTACTTCTGCTATTCTTTGAACAAATAGAAAATTATGTTGATCATCAGAATGAAAATCAAGATATTTTTGTGAAACACTATGCGCCTGGTGGCAATAAAGTTTGAAAAAGTTATTTATAGCATATGGGTCACAGTCAAGGTCACAAGGTCATTGATCTTGGTGTCATTTGAAAGAACTTAATTAGTGGAGTATGCATACTAAATATGAAGTCTCTATCTCTTATAGTTCAAAATTTATGGCAGAGGATCAAAATGGCTATTTTTAGCACATGGGTCACAGTAAAGGTCAAATTGTCATTGACCTTGGTGTTACTTGAAAGAGTTTAATTAGTGAAGGGTGCATACCAAATATGAATTTTCCATCTTTTATGACTCAAAAGTTATGTTGAAGTTTCAAAAAATCTATTTTAAGTATATGGTCACAGTCAAGGTCCCAAGGTCATTGACCTTGGTGTTAATTAATGAAGGGTGCATACTTAATACAAGTTCTCTATCTTTTATGTGTCCAAGGTTCAAAAAATCTATTTTAAGAATATGGGTCACAGCCAAGGTCTCAAGGTCACTGACCTTCAGGTAACTTTTGAAAAAGCTTAATTAGTGAATTCTGCATGCTAAATATAAAGTCTCTATCTTTTATTACTTTTAAGTTATGATGAATATTCGAAAAAGCTATTTTTAGCATATAGGTCACAGTCAAGATCACAAGGTCATTGACCTTGATGTCATTTGGAAGAACTTAATTAGTGGAGTACACATACCAAATATGAAATCTTTATCTCTCATTGGTTCAAAAGTAATGGTGAAGGTTAAAGTTTACAAACAAACAGACAGGACAAAAACAAAATGTATCCCTGATCTTTCAAGATGGGCGCATAAAAAATGTTTATAGAAACAATATTAATATGCCACTGTGAAAATTTCCAGCAACTCTGCATTAATTTTCAAATATTTACATGCTTAAATTCATCTTTTCCTGCTACTCTAGGATATATAGGCATACAAGTCTAGTATGCATGCATCACAAGCACTAATTGAAACACATATAATTTTTCCAATTGTATCTCCATTGAATCATTCATCTCAAAAAGAATATTGGTTTTGACTCACCAAGTCTGATGATATGGAAACAGAGTACAAATTCCAATAATTCTGCTTAAATTCTTTTTTCTAGTCATTCCACACTATGCAGTCTTACTACTCATCTTGACTAATCCCACTGTACTCAGTTAACAACTCTAATTAACTTAATACAAGTCAGTAATGAAGCAAAACATGCTTGCCTTTGAATTCCCTCCACTTTATTTAAAAAGAGGAAGTAAATGACTGAGCATGCTCAACAAATGGCTCATGGGTAATCCTAGATGTTGCCAGAAAGTTTTTTTTCTGGCAGTATTGCCAGAATGTCACCGGAAGTTGTTGCAGCTAGCGGTGATATTTCATTTTTTCTGGCAGTATTGCCAGAATGTCGCCAGAAGTTGTTGCCGCTAGCGGTGATATTTCACTAACCCAAAAAGCTTGTTTCTGGTGACAAAAATGTGTTGCTGCAATGTTGCCGCAATATAGCGGCAATATTGCTGCAATAATTTTACTTTGGTAAGGGTATTGAAAAAAAAAATTGTATATTAAGAAAATTTGATTTAATTAAAATGCATCCAGATTTTAATTAATTTGATTTGAATTTAATTCAGAATCATATGAAAGAGAACAATTGTATATTAAGAAAATTTGATTTAATTAAATTCCATCCAGATTTTAATTAATTTAATTTGAATTAAATAAAATCCATCCAACTGTTATTTCAAAACACAAAATTAAGAAAAATTAAAATTTGCAGTGTAAATGCATTGCAATAAAGTGTCGTCAAATTCTTATATTTAGAGAAGATATATTTATTCTCTCACAAATAATATTAAACCCTTCTCAGTCAAAGAGGATTGATCATTTCTTCAGAATGTTATGTGCATATCCAAACTAGTCCTTCGATAAAATGTTATCAGTGCGTAACTTTGTCGAAAAAGTCCTCCGACATAATTCTTTCGATATAATTACTGGATTGTTAATTGAGATTTATATGAAAGAGAACAGTCATATATTAGTAGAATGTGAATAAAATAGTTCGTTCAGTCTGTTTCTTTTTTATTTTAACTTTTTTTTTTAAAACACTAAAGAGAAAAATGTGTTTCATCATATTTTTCATTCAGTTACAACAAACTGACTAGGTTTATTTTGATTGGATGATTTGCTAGGCACTACAAT